TGCTTGAACCTTTCCCAAGAGATGTTGGCAAGAGGTGGCTGTGATATTCAACCGAGCCATCTACCATCCATCACCTCCATTTGGAGGCAACAACTGAAACCCTCAGCAAAGAGGCCATATTTCTGTTTATACCTACCCTCATGCAGCAGTACACTGGTGGGACAATGCTGCAAGCAATAGGGAGTTAGTAGGAAAGTACGCTGTAGGAAATGTCAGTGTGAAGCACGTCTGATGGCTGGCTGACTCTAAGGTGGCCTTAAAGTCATAGGGAAGAGGAAGAAGAAATGGAGAGAGGTATCATGTGGATAACAGTTAACACACTGGTAGCCTTGCAGGGGTTGTCCGAGGGGTGAAATAGCTGCAGCCACCAGCAGCAAACCCTATGGAGGGCTGAGAGAGTCCTGACCTGCCAGGGTATGCCCACCTCTGGGAGTCATGTTTTAGGAGACGCGAAGGATGTAATTCCCTTCAGAGAAGTGCCATGCACAGAAAGCTGTTTTGCTGCCTCTTCACTTTGGCAGCTTATGAGTGTTGGCTCTCATAGGTGTTTTAAAAGCTTTGTTCAGCTCCTTTTGCGGCTGGGACACTATATAAACAGCATGGAAGAGAGTCTGTCACCAGGTCCCTTGCCTGGAAGCTGGCCCAGTGGGACTGGTGGAGACTATGTAGGTGTGTAAATAAAAAAAGGAGATAACCTGGCCCCACTCTTTATGTAATTTAAAGAGAAATCAATTGGAAAAGATGGGAGGGGGGCAAAAGTTACAAAATAGACTGGCCAGGTGGACTTTGGTCAAAAAGTAAATCTGTTCACACAAGTATTGATTAGCAAAATCGCTCCTTTCTCAGTTCTCTTCATGAGTACATGAATACAGTGTTAAATGTGCCTGTGGTCTTGGAATTGTAATATTTTAGAAGCTTTGTGGTGTCATGAAAAGCTGGAACCTTAAGCAGTGATCAGTATAAATATGAATCTGCTATTAGATTTCTGTTAATTCTACAAAAAGCCTCATGAGGATTTTAATTTTATGGGTGTGTCTCTTAAAGATCTTATAGGCTTGACTTCTAGCTTCATCTTGCACTTCCCTAAACCTAGAGAAAGTGAAGAGCTGGACCCCATGTGTAGTAGTTGATCTGGGGTGCAAACATCTGTGAAACAACAGCTGAGATACTCTGGAATATGAGCTACAAGGCAGAACTTGCAGCTGAGTTCAAGGATGATGATGATGGAGAGGCAGGGGGATGCTCAGGCAGTGTGGTGACTCCCAGAGCCAACCAGAACACACAAACTCTGTGTCTTCCATCCAGAGAGGGTTAACTTGCACTTGCAGCAGGCAGCCTCATGCCATTAAGTCAGGGAGAGTAATGAAATTTCATTTAATTTGTCAGGAAGAAAGTGCTAATGTTAAAAGGCATTTAATAAAAAGGGGGAGATTCTTTGAGAGGAAGCCTTTAAGTAATTACTTCAAGTGTCTTAGGCCTACTCACCAGAATATTTACATTAGTGTCTCCCAGCGCCAAAGTGTAATTAAATTAGTGCAGCATTTACATTCCATCCTGTTGGTTTTTTGTTTTTTTTTTTAGAAGTGTGATTTTATTAACAATTCTCAAAAAAAAAGAAAAGCAAGCCTTGATCTAATCAAATCAGGTGTTAGTATTTTGTTAATGTTCTCATTGAGAAAACTACGAACTTAACAGGTTTGGAAAAGGCAGGGAGAGGGGCTAAAGCAAACTTCATCTCAGTTTTGAGCTCCTGCCTTGGGACTGATGTGGCAAACTAGCCAAGACTGTACTGACTGCAGAGGTTCCCTGGTAGAGCTTGTTGCACAAGTCTGGCTGTCTTCACAAAACACAGAGGTGCATATGTGAGAGTAAGAAGGAGATGGAGGGGCGGTGAAGATGGCATAAGATGGAAGAAACAAGCAATAGGCCTAGGGGCTGCCTATCCCATGGATGTGTACACGGCTCAGCATCAGGTGACAGCAAGCTGCAAAATGCTAAAATATCTGATTTGTGTATTTTGCTAGTAGAAGATTATCTTTTCTGGAAATCTGTATGGAGTAGTCTTCTATGGGAGGATAACTTTTCCACCCTGAACTAAAAGGAAAGTGTTCTGCTTTCCTTAACTTCATTATAAAAGCAAATTTAATACAAGACAATAGATAAGATGCATCTGGGCAAATCATCTTTCTGTGACAAAAGTGGTTCAGTTTGTTATACACAATCGCAGAATTGCCAGTACTAGAAGACATTGGAGCTGTATACCAAGAAAGAAAAGCCTATGGAATACTTTTTTTCCTAACTAAACTAAATTAAACTGCCATTTTGCAAATGTTTAAATGTTTTGGTGAAAGATAAATAATTGCATTTAAAAAAATACCCCAGGAGTTAGTTGACCATTGCATGTCACTTTGTTCAAAAGAGAAAAGACTGTTTCCATCACAGAGTAACTGCTGTCTTGTGGCTGGTAAACTCAGACAAAGTCCCTAAAAATAATTAAGTAGAGCAGAGATTTAAATATGACTGTTTGCTCATTACCTAGAGAAAGGTTGCTTGACTGGTATTATTTAATGTGAAACTTTCCTAGATAGAAATGTATTTTCAGTGATGATAAATACAAATAAACAGAAACGTTTTCCAGAGTTGCATCAAAACACTGCCTATGGCTATATAAAATCCTAAAGCTAGTTTAACTGCTGTTCGAATTTCACCTGGGATATAGGAATCCATATTAAGATTTCTGCTGTGTCTATATATCAGTAGGAACTTCAACCATGGTGTCTAAAACATTTATACAGTAAATGCTTCCTTCCCTTGCATTCACGTAGTCCTTTACCTTAGAAATGCTCTGGGTGGATATGAGGAGCAGCTTCTAATTTGCTAAGTGAAATATAATTTTTAAAAGAATTTAAATGTGAATGTTCACCAATACTGAGAGTTTCAGTGTTCTTCCTAGCAGTTGGTTTTCACCATCTCCAGTTTGCCTTGCAAGTGACTCTGAGAGACATTCTATCAGGAATTAGTCTCACCATATTGGAAAATTAACATGTACAGTGAGTATAAGCTTTCTCCGCCCTATATTTAAAGAATTTGGTGAAAAGAAGAACTTTGTGGCTGAGGAAAAAGCCCTTGCTCTTGCCACTACCTCTCTGAGCATCTACAGTGGGGGTGGTTGGTGCTAAATCAAAGGATTTTGCAGGATAACAATAGCTGAGCTGTCAGTAGGGGAAGAGCATATATGTGTAACTCCATCCTAGGCACAATGGCTTCCTCTTCCCGTGGTACAGTGGATTCAAAGGCAATCTAAACACTCAAAGATCCTAGAAAAATATCTGAACTAGGGGAAACTGTCCAGCACGTCAATGAAATGGTGACGGGCTGACACTTTCAGAAGGAAAAGAGGAAAAAACTGTAAAAGCAATGCACTCTGCTTCTTCCTGCCAGGGCTGTTATGTTATTTACAACTTTGTAAGTTCTCTTGCATGTATCTGCCTGATTCAGAGTGTCGTCTTTATTTTTTCCTGTCCTCCACAGGGTTCACACCCTTTGAAGGATGACTGACAAAAGGTTGTGTTTTGAAGTTGCTGTTTGAGTCATGACAATCACATTGCCGTCTCCCAAAGAGACCCTGGCATGGGCAAAGCCCAGCTGGGACAGCTTGTGTGGTGGACCATGGTCATGGACTCAGATGAGCTGAACTTGTTGTTCACTCAGGAGTCAATATGTTTAATAACAGTATGGTTGAGAGGAAGGAAAGGGACGGAGAAGCCTTGGTGCATAAAGGTGTCCTGAGCATGGAGACAGCTGATCTCTCAGGCTGCTTCATCTGCTCCTTTGGGCCTTTTTCTGTGTGCAATCACAGAAGCCCACTAAATCACATCTCCATTGTTCTTACCTCAAAGGACATCAATCCCATCCCCACCTCTCAGAACTAATGTTCAAAATTTTAAAGATTGGCAACATGTGCTTTATTTTATTCTGGTTTTGACTTTGGAAGTATTAACTTTTTGAGTGTGGAGCTTTATTTGTGGACTGGCAAGCAAAACGTGCAATGAAACATGCTGGGATTGCCAGCACTGAGCCATGGTTTGTCTGCACTGCTTGTCAGGCCCGGTGCTATCAACATCTGCTGTGTCAAAGAGTACTCAGTCCAGTGTCTATTTACATGGGGTTCAGATTGAGAGGACCTGGTGTTTTCAGAAGGTACAAGCATTTCATGCTGCAGCCATTTCAAACACACATTTGTAGGGGAGATGAGGCTCAGGACAAGCATGCTCTGTTTCTGATTAGGGCAAAAATAAATCAATCCTGCAGAAGGGCTCTGAGATCTGGAGAAAATGGAACTCACTGTATGTGGAAAACTTCTGAAAAGCCGCACTTTTTCCTCTAGATGCTTGTGCAGGAGCTAATCTCTTTCAGAGATCTGGTCCTATCTCTTAAAAACACATTTTTTTTATGGTAGAACAGCTGTTGTTGCTTCTGTTGTGATGATCTGGGTGAAAAGTTTGGTAACAGAGAGGGAGGCTTTAAAAAAAGCAAAAGGCAAAAAAACTCCCCCAAAAATTCCTTTCTCAACCCACCCACTGAAAAAACCCTTCTGCTCTGGCCTTCCAGAGACATAAAACTTCTAGAGCTTTTTAATGCAATTAAAACAAATGCTGACGTTATTTATAGCTAAATTACTGGCAAGAAAAACAACTAATGACCAAAACCTACATTTGTACCATTTAAAAAAAAAGGGAAGAAAATTCTAAAGGGAATGATTTGTAAGGATGTGGTTAAACCTGTTTATACCCTGGGTTCTATTTGTTTTACAGCCAGCGGTGCACGAACAACATGAAAGGTTATCTTTGACAAGGTTTTAGCTATTATTTTCTTCCAGTGAAATGGTATTTCTTGAGAAAAAAAGGTCCTCAGAACAAAATAACAATAAATCCTGATTTAGATACATAAAGCTGCCATCGATATCACATAATATCAGTGTTCTTTCTCACTCGATACAGGCGTTTTTAAGATAAATGGTAAAACTGAACTGGAAATCCATCTGGCCAGCTGCCTGATCTAATGAATAACCCCACTTTGGCTCCTGCAATGTAAGCAGAAAGAGTTCTCTCCCGGCCGCTTTCGTCTGTCATGAATCTACAAGACAGCCGACATAATATCTGGGCGACAACAGCGTGCTAACAGTGCAGTGACTTCCATTTTCTTTGCTTTCTATTGATTTTCACTTAATAACTGGCGAAATACTAAACGTCCGCCCTGAGTACCTAATAAATCCTGCCTGAGCTTTTTATTGAGGAGAATTTAATAAAAACAACCATTGCGGCTGAGGGATTTTTCTTCTGGACAGAACATGGTGAGGGGTGGATGGTGTGTGTGTGTGGATGGGGGGAGAGACATTTGAATGTTCTAATTTTTCAGGGGGTGAGATAATTCCTCTCCTGCCCTTGCTGCCCTTTTGAGGGACCCAGTTACTTTGCCTTGTGCTTGTTTTCCCCTTTTCCAGAAATGGCCACTCTGCACATTTACTGCTGTAAGACAGAGTAGAAGGACATTTGTAGAAGAAAGGCACTTCCATCAAGTCCATCCTACACACCCACACTTACCTCTTCAATCTGATTTCAATTCTGTTAATTTTTACGAAGGTTCCCTAATTGCCAGGCGTGGGGGCTGTCAGAATCCTCCAGTAACATGCTTTTTATTGTCCCATTTTACAGCTATTTTATGTTTGACACTTGACACGCAGGCATGAAGATCCTCTGTTGGATTGGTTGGCTACTGTAACAAAATGGCATTTTTAAGTTATATGAAGTGTTAAATCTGCATCCAGTTAGAAACAAAACAAAACCCAGTGGTTTATAAGTTGACAATTAATCCTAATTGTTAGCTTGGGGAAAAAAAAAACCCTCTGGAAAAACAAAAGTAAAAGGCCAAACCTCTTCTTTTCCTAGCTGTCCAGCAAGCATTTGTGTGGGTATATATATGTTGATACATAGGTTTTGTACAGTTTTCCTTACTGAAGGAGGATCAGGAGAGACTGGGAACACCGTTCCTAAAAACAATGTATTATTTTCCTCTGCATACCCTCCTGGAACAGCTCTCTTTCCTTGCCCATAAACTCAACAGAGTTCCTATTATACAAAGCTGCTCTTTTAAAGCATTTGACAGTTTTTATTTTAATTGACACAGAGGCAGTTTCAAAGTCATTGGGTTTAATGAACAATCATCTTAGCATTTGCCTGCTCAAATCCTCTTATTCCCGGCAGTTCACAATAAAGTTTATTCTAACGGTTGAAATTAAAAAAGGAGAGAGGCAAGTAGAAATGTTGAGGAGCTTATATGAAAATCTGCGGATCTCAAGTTTGTGCAGTGCTGTTATGAAAACTACTCAGCCATGCAAAGCAATAAGAGGTTTAATTACTCATTGGTAGTCCCTCTGCTGCTCCTGATGTGGCGTGTGGTGTTGCGGAGGCCTGGGAGAGATAATTGAGGCATACGGGTGGAGTGCAGCGCTGCTGTGGCAGCTCATGTACTTTTTAACTCTCATTTTCGCATGTGCCACTGTTTCGTTGTTCCCAAGGGGCAGAAGGCTCTACAGTTCTGTGTAGAGAGGTATCCGGTAGGTGACCCTGATCTGAAGCATGCAAGGGAAGAGAACATCTCCTGGTAGTCTGACAAACACACACTGACTCGAGCTACTGGCTGCAAGAGGCGGTGTGAGAATGAAACCTCAGAGCCTCTGAAAAAAGTTCTGTTTTCAGGTTTGGTTTAATCGATACAATTTAGTTATTACTGGGCTCATGTGACCAAAGATTTAATGACTCATGATAGGCGTAACAGCAGTGACAGCTATGGCCTTTGCCTTCTGTAGGGTGTTACAGGATAAAGAGTAGGATACGGTTACTGAAAAAACATGGACCCTTAAAAACACGTGGAGGGGATTTTCAAACCCAGAATTCTTGAATTGGCTTATAGTTTGGTGTCCATTTTAAGGCAGATTAATTAATGAACCACCTTCATCGCGTAACTTCATGTGATATGTCCGTGAGAATAAAAAAGTACTGAAAGTTTCTCCTGTTTTATTAATGTATGTTAAAGACATTCAGTGACTGGAAGTAAAATTGACGTTGAAGCAGAGTGTGATCAAATTGTTCTCCCTAGCTGACCAGCCAGTAATGCATGTACTACCTGTCTTTAGAGCTTGGAAACCGCTTTTCTAAGCTAAAATCTTTTTACAGTTTTTACCAAATGGATAAAACAAGAAGAAATTTTATCACTATCTAAACAGAGTAATAGAGTGACAGGACATATTTGCATTTTGAATAGATTAGCTGGTCTTTTAAATATTTATTTGTGTCTATTTTCAAAGTCCCTGATCCTCTGAATTTTTCCAAACACTTCTGATTTGACAGACTGGGAAATCTGTCTGCAGCTCCAATTATACTTGAAAAGATACATATAAATGATTTGACAAGTTAAAAATTAGCAGCAAGTTCTATACCTAGCAAGATTTTGTAAGCAGCAGTTCATAATTCATGATACTTCACTCTAAAGTTCATGTAAATTCTGTATGTGTGGGATCCTTTAATTGGTACGCATAAAGGTGTATTGCTACTCACCTAATGTATTCTGTTGCTCAACAAAAGGTTGTTGTAGTGAGCTCTGATTGTGACAAATGATTTACTATTAGGAACATTCTGTAATTATTGTTTGGTGGTACCTCAGACCGATACATCATTAACATGATAGACGACCTTTTATATCAGCAAAAATAACTAAATTAATAAAAATGGCTTCATTCCAAACCCTGTCAGAAAGCCAATACTCGAAACAATCAAGTATCAGTGATACCTGAAAAGAACAGAGTTATATTTTTGTTAAGCAAACCTTATTGTTTGTGTAATAGCATTGACATGTGCTGTAGAATAGAGGGCTGGATTTTCAGCTGCTGTGAATCAATGATCTAATTAATTCTATTTATGTAGAGACACACCACTCCACATCTGTCAAGGGTATGATATGTAGGATTTTATTGTACTGCTAAAAGCAAGACTGTAAATGAAGTATCAGAAAACTTCTTTTCCCTTCAGGAATTCTGGGAACTAATGCAAGTGTGCTTTGTTGGTTCTTTAGATTCTGTTCCCAGTTCCATCCACACAAATCTGGTGTGACTTTCCTCAATGAAATACTACGTCCAAATTTATATCTTTGTCATTTGAATTTGGAGAGGACCGAATCCCATCCTTTAGCCATTTAAAGTCAGGAAAATAGAAAACTACTTAAAGAATAGGTTCTTTTTTTTTTTTTTTCTACTGATGAGTAGAAAAAAAGAGCTCAAGATCATGAATTCTTTGGTTTTCACCCTGCCATATTAGTTTTTTAATGTTTGTTTCAATTACTTGACAAAAAAGTGCAGTTTCTGATGGAAAATATTGAGCCAATAGTTCTGGAGACACTGTAGCTTTGCAGAATACAGATAACTCGGGGGTGATATCATTTTCATAGCTAGGGTTTCTCCCTGACCCCTCTAAGGAGCCAGCAGGGAATAACAGACACAGGTACTCCTGCTTAGGGAAGGGCTGGAGATAGTAGCTACAGAGCACTTCTGCTCACAAATTCCTTTCATGTTTTAATTTCTAATACCTCCCATTCTCTCCTTACCCTTTAGCATGGGGCAGCCCCCATGACAAAAAAGGTAGGAGGAAAAGCCATGATGAGACTGATGCTGGAACAATACCTCCTGAGAGCCATGACCATGGCTAAATGTACCACTCTGGACTATTCCTCTATTGTTTTATTCTTTATTCAGACCGCTTCTATATCCACCCTCTTATTTAATCTCTTCTTTCTCTTGTCATTCCACTTAGCAGTTCATTCCCAAGGTAGCTCACAAGAAAAAAATGAAGAGGTATATTGAACTCACTTGGATACTTGTCAAACGCTCAGTGCCACATCTCTTTTTTTTCCCCTTGCTCTTGCAAGTCTTGCTCAAGTTTAAGTTCCTTCATCAGGGACTGTTTTGTGTATAGGTGTTTCACACCTGTCTTAGTTGTGCATGTAGACATCACAATGATAAATAGGGCAAACAAACATCAGATGGCTGGATCACAAAATGTTGCAGGATACCTGATGGTTTGCTTCACTGTAATGAATTCTCAGCATGTTCTTCCAGTGACACATGCTGAAAGAAGAGCAAAAACCCAATTAATGCACAGGTCATTGTCTTCTAACAGGCAACGAACAAGATTTTGGGACTTAACTCCTTCAGCAGCTGTGTTACTAACTCACTGTGTAACCTTCAGCAAATCCATTTATTGCACCCTTGTAAAATATTGGTAATGAATTTACGTTTTGTAAAGTGCTGGGAGATCCACGGATGGAAAGCACTATATAAGCTAAGTGTTATTAATGCGATTCACTCAGTGAAATGAAATATCTGTTGGGCAAAATACTGTTCTGTAAAACTTATATTTAAAGTTACATATTTTACAGCACCAAGAGAATGAAGGTTGTGTCACTGTTTCCAACATATAAACTATATTTAGCAATTTATTCCTTGGCTTCTCTCTAAGTAAAAGAAAACAGCTTGGTGCTTAAAAATAACATTTTGTAGGCTTGACGTTCATAATTTGGACTGGAATATTTTTTAAACAATTATTTAAAAAGAATGAAAAATCTCTTTCTGCTCATATAGAATAAATTTTCATTCTTGCACAGGCCATATGTGTGAAGGTTAGCCATTTATCTTGAATAGTTATTTCAGTTTTATATGAAGATTGCTATAGAAAAATGCTTCCGATGTCAACCATTTCTGTATTTTCTTTTAATGCACAGCTTGCCTTTCACTGTTGCATCCTGTTAAACAGTGGGGCAGTGTCTGGACAGTGGACAGTTCAGTTTTGTAGCAAATCCTCTATCTTCACTGCTGAGATGGACTAAGTTGCAAAAGGTTGTACAAACCACGTACATGTAGGGAAGTATATTTGACTCTTAAAAACCTTTTGATTTTATTAACTGATATTACCTATAACATCTTCAAGGAAATTGGTTCAATCATCTGAATTTTAACCCAATATTCTTTTTCTTTTGAAGAAAGAGGGCATTCATTCCTGATCTTCCCCTGTAATTCATTTTCAAACATCTTTTTATTCAGAAAGCTTTTGGTTCACAGTGACTTCTGCCCGGAATACAACCTTTTTGTCTTGCATCAATTAATCAATTATCGCTATTACTGGAGTCTAGGGAAGGAAGAAAAACCTTTTACAGAACTTTACCAGAGATTGTAACTAGTCAAGAAGAGATGAATCTGGATTCCATCTTAGGTG